TGACCCAGTTTTGGAGATATTAGGTGCAGAGATTTCTGCCTTCTTTCTTTTTACTGTCTACATCCGCCAGCCAAAGGAAAATGCAGCCAGGTCTCTCAAATAATTAATATAAGCTGGTCAAAGCAGGCCGTCACTTTACATAAAAGATGCCGTACCCACCAGCGAGGTCGTCCCGTTGGATATGAAGGACGCTGCACATTCATATAGCAGCAACTTGTCAATTACACCCTGGTGTATCCACTTGTTTGCCTCCAATAGAACGACAGCTGATAAAATTAAAGTCCTGACACTAGTGAGGCTCATCAGGTAAATATTTACTGAGGTCATAGTTCAAGCTGCGGGGGTTGTTTTCTCAGACTTTTGTTGCAGGACAAACAGTTGCCCCCTAGTGGCCACTGGAAAGAACGCAACTTCCAGCTTTGTTTTAATTTTCAGACGTGGAAGCTACAGCCATCCTTTATATACAGGCCCAATCCCAGTGTCCACTCACAGGACAAAACAGACTGTTACTGGGATAAGAAACAAAAGCACCAGAATAAAAATGTAACGCAACAAGCACAAAGGAGCAACGACACAAAAGGCAAAAGAAAATCTATGCACGTGTGATTGCAGCATATGCATGTAAAGTAGGTTTAGTTCAGGGAGAAGAAAATAGTTCCCACATGAAACATCTTCAATAGGTTGTTGCTGCTTCTTTACTTCTCAGTAGCTGATCAACGATCTCAGATTCTCAGTTTAGCTCAGATATATTTAAAAGACAGCAGATGTCAAAATGTTCTAAAAGGATGAACAGAACTAAAAATCAGGAGAAAATAATGTACATTTAATTCTGCTGTGAACTTTTCTTTAGTAAACTGTTGTGTGACTTCTCTCTCCCTCTGGTGTAATTTGATCCTGATATAACACACACTCTCTCACAAACTGCCGTAACAGCGCACACCTTCATTGTTGCAGTTTCTCGTTGCTGAAAAGCTTCTCTAACCTGCCTGCGTCATGTATTTACAGCATCCCCGCTCACAGCGCTTTGTAGGCTCAGAATGTTCAAACATAAACGGCTCAGCACGACTGCATCAGGAGCTTTACAGATAAACAAACACACAGAATGACAGAAAAGTGATAAAAAATGAAACCTTCCAGTGCGTTATGTGAACTGGAGGTAAAGGTTGCAGGAAGAAAATGCAATAAGGTGATTTCTAAATCTGGCTTTGTATAAACGTATACATATTAATATCAATCTTCATGTTTTGCAAAGGCAACAAGCAAAACAAATGTGCTGTGAGAAAACCTTTGAGAGCACTCAAAGCTGTTTAAAACAGAGGTAACATCATATGTTGTTGGCATAAACACAAAGGCGTCAGTGCGAGTCTGTAACAACTGTTTATATCGCTGTGAATACACACAGCGCATGAATCCACCATCAGCTGCACTGAGTGTTAATATGGTTTTCAGTTTCAACAGGACAACAATCAACTCGAACTCTTCGCACAAGGATGAAAGAGTTGATCATTTAGGGAATAAATGAACTAAAATGATTTTAAATGAAATTTATAACTAAAAGTAGAAGAAGAGAGAAGCTAAAGATCTAAAAACAGACAGGTTCAAGGAGGTAACTTGAGCCGTGCTGCATAATTCACCTGTAACATCATCAGTCAGTTCACCAAACACCTGACTTCATGAATTCAGCAGTTTTCTGCAAACTGTCCGGGCTGTGGTGCAGCCTCTGTGTGAGCCGCAGGACAGCTTCATGGCTTTGACTTTTATAAGTGGGGAATAAAGAGACTCACCGGACACAGAGCGCCACTGAAAGTCCAGCTCTGAACTTCCACTGAACATCTTTAGCCATCACTGCTTCACTCGTATGTTTATGGTGGAGAATTCAAGCAGCCGGCCCGTATCACTGCTCACACAGCTCACGCCATGCGTCGCGGCAGGAAATGCACATGTGCAACAACTGTCTGAATGATGGCTGTTGTTCCATGCAGCTTACTGGGTCAGTGAATGCAGCACACACGTTCACTGACATTACAGGAGCTGAATATTTAAAGTGGACCCGCTCTGCTCATTTCGAGCTCTATATTTTGACGTTTGGACTCTACCAGAGGAGCTTTGTATGACTCATAGTTAAAAATAACACTGCAATGTGTCTGAAACAAGCTGCTTCAGTGCCCGTCTCTTTAGACTGGCTGCTCTTTGTAAACAAAACTATGGTTGTGTTTACTGCGCACATCCATCCTGGTGAGTCAGAAAATCCAGAACTGGTCGACTTTAGTAACTCCTGAAAATGATTTAATGGATGAAGTAAAGTTTGTGATGGTTCTAAACGTGCAGACGCACTCACACACAGTCTCGCCGTTTCACTGAAAACAAACCTTCAGCTTCTCTAAAGCAGCGAAAGCCATTCGAGGCAGAGTGCGCACTCAGGCTGCTAATCCTTAAATCTAAAATGTCTCAAGCTGACTCAGTTTGTCATCGACATATTTTTATGTGATGCCTATATTTACTTATGCTTGTATCCCCTATTTTATTGTTCTAACTTACGTTTTTTGTTTTCAGCCCTTTATGTAGACAATGTTGATTTGATTTATCTCATTGTTGTTCTCTGTCTTAACTTTTAATTTGTCCCATCTCGCTCTTCGATGTCCAGCTTCCTGTTGAAATGCATTTTTCTATCTTTGCCTTTCTGTCAAAGCACTTTGCAAAGACATCGTGTTATTATTATTTAGCCTCACAGGGGAACAGTTCTGTGTTGGATTTATCTAAATGTAGCTGGACTTAAGTTCGAAACTACAAACTACAGAGCCACCAGCCATCGTCACCAACACAATATGACACTGAATCAGGATTGTGAGTTTTCTGCACCTTTAGGAGGAACCAAAACATGACAAAGCTCAAACACAACGATCAGCTTCACCATGCAAAATGTGAGAAGGTGATCGGACACCAGGCAGAGCACAACGAGGATTTCAAATAGCCACGTGAGCTAACGGCTGTTCAACCTAAAAAAGGGGCGAAGTGATCAGGATGACAGTCTGCTCACAATCTGAGTGCTAAATGTAAAAAGAATATTTAAAACAAAACACTAAAGTACAAAAGTATGACCCTTTGCAGTACTTTTACACGTCTACTACTGAATCCTGCTGATGTAACATCCTTGGTGTTCAAAGTGGTTTCCTAGACTACAAAGACATCAGTGCACAGTACAGTATTTCTCCAGTGCTTCCAGTGCTTCACCTCACAGTCTCTGTTCAGTGAATGAACATGCATACAAAACAGTACCCTGATTAAAAAATGTACAGTCATTACTTTCATAGAAAAAATGCCAAAAAAGGTGTATATGTACTTCAGTTAACATCCCTAAAAATACCAGCAGTCGGACGCCTCGCACATATTTACAGGTTCCTCCGCTGAACGCATCGTCAGCTTTAAAAAACCCTCAGAGCAAACTGTCCCTCGCTCCTGTTTTCAGGAGCTGCAATAAAACCTTCAGCTGTTGTGAAGTGCACATCGCGTCTGATGTAGCGGCTACTGTCGGCTCAGAAAGCCATTTGCACGTTTCTTCAATCAAAAGTATAACGACTGAATATAAATTATATGTATATACTTCTTTATACTGTATTAAATGTATCTACATTCTCTCTTACTTAAATATAAACACTTCTCATCTCTGTCGTTTATCTTCAACATTTCAGGAAAAAGTGACTGAAAATCTTCGAAAGCCGTCGCTCTGTTTGCATAAAGCATCACTTAAAGGTACTTTTTGTAACTTCCTGTTTTCTAAGATTAACAAAAATGAACAGAATATAAATACCAGCTTGACTTTATGTCCTAAACTATCTGTGTTTTCTGTTACGATGTCAACCGTAGTCAAATGAGGTCCCGGCCGTACTTTGGTGTATTACCTTTTTGTTCAAACGCTGCCCCCTGGTGGTGAACGTTTTATTTACATCGTTACAAAAAGTACCTCTAACCGATGCCTTTATAGCCGCTGTTTACGTGACAGAAATAATCATCATTAGTTATTTGCTTTCATTTTGGTCTTTTGTTTTCATCTTTTTAAATCATCTAAATCAGTGATTCCCAAACTCAAAGCTGCTAAACTGGAGTCCACACGAGACTGACCTTTGGTCCCCCTCGTCCCACATCGAGACAGTGTCCCACATTTTGTTCACTGCAGGACAGGCACTTTCCTAAAGTCTGGCTTTTATCCAGTGGCTTTAAAAAAAACTGAAATACAGGGAGACTACTTAACTGGGTGAAGTCAAAACAAAGGAAATGATTTTCCTTTCTTAGTTAATCTGCAGTGATGCAGAAAGGAAAACATGACATTAAGTGACAGGTCAATT